GCACGACCGTGAGGGCGGATTCTTGACGACCCAGCATGATCCGTCTTTCCCTGTCTTCGACTACACGAATGGCCCTGGGAAGATGCTTCAGACTTACGTGCCCAAGGCTGAGCCCGTTGAAAACAAGATGCGCGCCTTCCTGACGCCATCTGGCGAATCCTTGACCGCAGTTGCGGAGTTCGAGCAAAGGATGGCGCGCAGGGAACGCGACGATTGGGTGCGCCATCCCTTCAGAGTGAAGCAGGGCAACCTCGACGACAAGATATGGCATGGCGCCTTCGGCAGGGCGAGGCACGGAGCGCACTTCCCTCTGGTGGCTTTCACGCACAATACGTGCCGCAGGTCACCTGAAAGACTCGCCGCGAGGTTGGAACGCAGGAAGGGCGGCAGGAAGGGCGGCAAGAAGGGCGGCAAGAAGGGCAGCTACGCGGACACCGCAGTTGCGGGGAAGGGCGTCCGACCCCAGATGGGAACCGCAGTTGCGGGGAGAGACGCTGGGGCTGAGCGAGCTGGGAACACGCCACCGCCGCAAGCTGCCAACGGCGACGATGCGACCCCTTCTTGTGCCGCAGTGGCGGCTGGGTCCTGGGACGCCAGCGGCAGCGGCGCATGGGAGGCGCGCAGTCCCGCCACGAGATGGCAGGGCTGGTCCTGGTGGGACTGGAGCTCGAGCGAATGGGGCGCTGATGGCGCGCAGTGGTGGCCCTCTGATCATGCCGCAGTTGCGGACAATGCCCCTGAGGGCTCGCCTCCTCAGCGTGAAGTCGAGTGGGGCTCGAGCGGGCGACCTGCCGAGCGCCCTCCGTGGAGCTTCGAGGGGCAGCGTTGGTGATGGCCGCAGTTGCGGGCAAGTGGAACATGATGTTGATTGCCGCAGTTGCGGACAGTGTACGCTGGAAAAATCATCATCATCATCAATCATAATCATCATCATATCATCATATCATACGTTCAAAGCAGTGCCGGGGCACTGCTTTGAACGCGTTCAAAGCAGTGCCGGGGCACTGCTTTCGATCGTCGCCTCGTCGCAGTTATAAGGGCTATTGGATTAGGGAAGAAGTCAGCAGCATCAACTTGGAGACGGCGTAGGCCTGGTGAGCCTGGTGCAAAGGACAGGGGAAGAGGAAGGGAGAGAGAGGGAGAGAGGGAGAGGGATGGAGATGGAGGGAGGCAGCGGAGGGAGGGAGAGGGAGGGAGGGAGGGAGGCAGTGAGGGAGGGAGGCAGAGGAGGTAGGGAGAGGGAGGGAGGGAGGCAGGGATTTTTTGGATTGGCTCCTCGCTGAAGCATACGGCTTGTCGAGACTGGGTGGCGCTGCAGCTAGCAGAATATTAGTCAGACTAAAAACTTCGGCACGGGCACCAAGGACGCAAGGAGAGTAGTTCACCCCCCCGCAAAGTATCCTCCCACCCTTAACTGGCACAGGTTCTTAAACCGTGGTCAGTAGTGTACAAATGCAGGGCACAGAGAGCATGTGGGCGGTCCTGCAAGCGATGATGCGTGTCCCCTGAGGCATTGGCCATCTTCGCACCCTAGCACCGAGCAAGACAAGGCGAGGCGCAATTATCTTCGCCTTGTCTGAGCACTGAAAGAAGATATTCTTCTCCTGCCAGAAAGTCGAGAAGTGAGCAGCAACGAAAGTGCACGATAACAAATCTCGCACCTTGATCATTCCTGTACTGCTGGGCAGTACCGACAGAGAGTGGCTGTACGTGCAACTCTGCCTGCGATGTCTCCCCTGAGACGTCGGACATCAAATTGACTGACAGGTCTTGGCACACGAGCCTGCGGGCTATCTTCACGTCCTCATATCAAGGGGCAATGCGAAGTGACCAGAAAGCGATGCGCAGTTATCCACATAGTGTTGCCAAAATGGCTGCTCCTGATCACCTATCTCCTGATCTCCTGATCTCAGACGGAGGGCAGCAGTGCATGCAGGAGGCAAACAAGGACAGAAGAGAGAGCACCAACGCAGGCGGCAACGGTGAATGTCCGTCAGCGCATGGATGGCGGGCAATCAATGAGAAGAAGCTCGGGGTCACACGTGTGGCACGCTACGGGTGTGTCATTATGTCCAGCTGACCTCACGTGGACCCCTGGCCGCAAGCCCGACTTGGGCCGAGCGAGAGAGCCTCTTCTTGTCGTTACACCGCTGCAAGAGAGAGGGAAGCGACAATGCAACGGAGCACCTGTTCGAACTTCAAGTGCATGTCAGGGCGGGCGGAGAGGGACTCTCTCTCAAGCGGCCATTGACAGCAATGTAAGCGTGTCCATTTAAAGTAACGAGACACATATACTGTAACTCAAAACGCAGGCTGTTGGATGAGAGGGTGGAGGGAAACATGCGAGGGGAGAGAGGGGATAGGGTTCCTCGCTCCTCAACCGAGCTCCACTTTACAACTACACAAGCGCACGCGTATTTAAAAGTTAAACATGTTGCGTGCACGCGTGGGGTCGTCCCTCCATGGCGCAATCTGTCTAAGGTTCTCTCTTGTCCGCCTGGCCTTCTCTAATCGTCGCCTGCGGGCTCCGATCCGATTCGATTCGATGCGAGCACGCGTCGCCCGTGACAACTGGATAGTGGTCGGTGGCGGACGCTCTGTCGGTGGCTCCTCGAGAAAAGCGACGACGCCTGCCTTGCTCCTCGTGAGCCTCCTGTGGGCCCACTGGACGTGGCTCCGCCTCTGGGTCGAAACCTAAACCCTCGGCCTGCTGTTCACTTGGTGGGGGCTCGGGCGGCAATTACTCACTGTGTGGAGCTTTTTATATGTGCATCTACTCGCATGGACCTGTCCGCCGTGAATGTCTAGGCGCAATAGCTTTCGAATATTAACGGGCTTCAGTTGTGACGGTCTGGACATCAATCTAATTGCGAATGAATTGGAGTGTGAATGAGCCTCAGTAGTACGAGCGCGTCTCTGTGCATGAGCCTGGGGCCTCCTGGGGCCTCCTGAAACCTACTGGGGCTTCCTGGGGTCTCCAGGAGCCTCTTGGGACCTCCTGGGACCTCCTAGGAAGGTTTCGTGCCCCAGGAGAGGCGCAATCTATAGCAACAGACGTACATAAAACATTGCGGATTAGAGCCACAGGAGAAGGGCAATCTATAGGAACACGCGTAAAACACCAAGGACTCGTGCCCCAGGAGAGGCCCAATACATAGGAACATGAGTAAAACATTTAGGATTGTGTACACAGGAGAAGGACCATCTATAGAAACACACGTAGAACATCAAAGAATCGTGCTCCAGGTGAGGCCCAATCGATAGGAGCATACGTAAAACACATGGGATTGGAGCCACTCCTGTTGCCTTCTGAGGCCTCCTGCTCCTGGGGCCTCTCGGGGCCTCCTGTTGCCTTCCGAGGCCTCCTGGCGCTTCCTGTTGCCTCCTGGGGCCTCCTGTGGTTTCCTGAGGCCTTCTGGAGCTTCCTGGGGCCTCCTGGAGCCTCTTGGGACATCCTGTGGCCTCTTGAGTCTTTCTGTGGCCTCCTGATGCCTCCTGGGACCTCATGTGGTCTCCTGGGGCCTCCTGGAGCCTGTTGGAGCCTCCTGTGGCATCCTGAGAAGAATCTGCGCCCACGAGCCTGGCCACCAAAACAAGCAAACCGATCGAGACATCCTCAAAATCTGGCCCACCTGGGGGGTGAAAATGAGCGCCTCGCTCGAGACATCCTCCAAATCTGCTCCGAAAGCGAAGGATGTTGGGCCCAGAAACAAGCAAACCGCCTGAGACATCCCCACAAAATGGCCGCGAACGAGCCCGTGCAACCACCCCTGGCGGCTCCCCTTAGGGGTGCTGAAACCAGCGCCTCGCTCGAGACATCCTCCAAATCTGCTCCGAAAGCGAAGGATGTTGGGCCCAGAAACAAGCAAACCGCCTGAGACATCCCCACAAAATGGCCGCGAACGAGCCCGTGCAACCACCCCTGGCGGCTCCCCTTAGGGGTGCTGAAACCAGCGCCCCGCCTGAGACATCCTCACAATCTGCTCTCCAAGCGAAGGATGTTGGGCCCAGAAACAGGCAAACCGCCTGAGACATCCCCACAAAATGGCCGCGAACGAGCCCGTGCAACCACCCCTGGCGGCTCCCCTTAGGGGTGCTGAGTATGAGTAAGTCTGTGTATGAGTAAGTCTGTGTATGAGTAAGTCTGGGTATGAGTAGGTCTGTGTATGAGAACGTCTGTGTATGTGTACGTCTGGGTATGAGTAAGTCTGAGTATGACTAATACTGTGTATGAGTAAGTCTGGGTGTGAGTGAGTCTGTGTATGAGTACGTCTGGGTGTGAGTAAGTCTGTGTATGAGTAAGTCTGTGTATGGGTATGTCTGAGTGTGAGTAAGTCTGAGTATGAGTAGGTCTGATTATGAGTAAGTCTGAGTATGAGTAAGTCTGTGTATGAGCAAGTCTGAGTATGTCCGACAGGAGGGGAGGAGAAAAGAGGAGGAGGAAGAGGGAGGAGTAGGAGGCGTCCAAGTAATAACAAGAACCCCATCTTAGGATATGGGGAAAAACGGTGACGTTCAGCATCGGCCCTATTATGGCCTCTCCTTGCCTTGGGCGAAAACAAAATCTGGTGCCCAACCTTCGTCCAAACCTAGGTATGGGTCCTATTCAGCGTAAAAACGGATTAACTCAGCTCGGAGCTTTTCCTCATCTTCTTGCATGTCAAAGGGATAGGTCGTGTCGGCACACGTCACATACATATGGTTTATGCAATCCACCGTCGCATCAGCCAAGATCCGACATAAACCCTCTGGATTGGTCTCTTTGCAATGATTTTCCGCTGCCCAGGGAGAAGCCCATTGTTCGATTTGTCAGACACGACGGTCAGCCAGACACGGTACCGCACTTCGGGGGGCTCACGGGAACCGACGGGTCGTGCACCAAGACAGGCATAGCGGAGTTAGACAGAGCGACGTTTTCGGTAGTGGCTTACAGTACCGACGGGGCCCCAGAGGCCTCCTTTTATGGCGCTGTTGCTGCCAACCTTCCCCAGACTTCTCAGGCTGGGGAGCACATGGGCTTCCTGGTTCTCCAGGAGGCCCTCACCAAACCTTCCAAGGCCTGGGTGGACTGCAAAGCGGTCCTCGATCAGCACGCTAGGCCACTGCCGACACGTCTCAGCAGTAAGCTTAAGTACTCAGGCCTGCACAAGCTCGCGCTTGCGCGGGACAGCAGACACCACCTCGAGACGGCCTCTAAGGTCAAGAGCCATCAGGATGTGAACTCATTGGCTGGGGAGGCCAGACTCGCTGCAGAGATCAACACAGCAGCGGACAAGATGGCGAAGGCGGCAATGGACTGCCACCCAAGTTTCAACCCGACAGCGCTGCAGGAGCTGCAACGCAAAATAGAGGCCGCTCGAGCGATTGGTTTATATGCGCCCAGAGTTCTCGCCTTATGCCAGCGCAACAGGCACAAGTGCGAGAGAGCCGCTCTGCCCTGTAAGGTTCAGGCCACCATCGTCGTGCACGACTGGGAGGTTCTTCAGGGGCCGATACCGTACAGGTGCAGAGCATGTTTTACGTACGCCCGATCTTATAAGGCAGCTGTCGCACGTGAGAGGCAGGCATGCCAGCCACTAGCCAGCGCATTCAGGCGCGGCCTTGAAGGCATACACGCCAGCCATCAGATGGCAATAGCGCATTTTGCCGTGCCAGTTGTCTTTTGTTTAGTATGTGGGCGCTATGCCCAGTTCGCTTTCAGAGGCTTGCCTGCCACCTGTCCTGGACGCCCTCCCAAGAGTGGCGGACGTGCGAATATCAGAAATCGTCTTCTGGCAGGCAAGCATCCAAGATATTCCGTTTTTGCTTCAGAGTCCGAGCGGTACAACACCGCAGAAATTCAAAGGCAGCAGCGCGCGCAGCGTGAGCAAGCAACAGCGCGCGCAGCGATGCCACCCCCGAGCCAGCCGAACCCGCGCTCGGTGCCTCGCCCACAGAGGTTCGAGGCTGGACGTGGGCGCCAGCAGCACTCCAGCAGGCGCCAAGAGGAGGATGGGGAACTCATCCCTCCTGTGGGTTTCGGCGAAGACGACTCGGGGTCGTCGGACTAGGCCCCCTTCCAAGCCCCGCCGCCATCTCGGCGGTGCTGCGCGCTTGTGAGGGGCCACCCGCCCGACGGTCTCTGCCCTGGGTCCCCGCCTTTGGCACGCCCAGGCACCGTCGGGCCACCCCACCTGGAGGGTGACTGGCCAGAGCCGCGTGCGTATGGCCCGAGCATGGAAAACAAAAAAGTCTCTTTGCAGTGCGCCATTCATTCCGTGTCCTATCGAACCCCATGAGGACCTCATGAGCCCCGCGTCCATGAGAGCACTTCCCACGGCCTGGTGTCTCTAGTAGTCGGTCTGATAGTGTCGCCGTACGTAGTACAAGAATCCGTGTTGGTGCTCGGGCCTGCTGGCCGTGTTCACACTGGTCAAAGTCAGTGGTAGTTGCCGACGGAGCCGCCATCGCAGCCCGTAGAGGTGCACATAGAAATGAGCTGACTGCAGCTTGGCGCCAGCAGGCGGGAACTGGGTGCTCCATCCGACAGCATGTGCCTACCTGCATGTGAACACCCAAAAGCTCAACCATGGCTCCGAGCAGTTCGTTTCTAACCCGAAGTTGCTCTTGCTGTCTGGGGGTCACGGCCAGCAGTCGCCAGTAATCATCGTGGGGCCTCAGGGGCGGGGGCTCCCTGTCCGGGGCCCATCGGATAGCTGACCAGGTCTCGCATGGTGGCCCTCCGCCTCATAGAACAATTCTTTTAGCACGTATATGTTCTTTCCAAATCTCAGGGGTGTCATACGCCATCATGTTGCCTAACCTTGGGTCAATCGCGATGTCAATCGGCAAGACAATGACTGCAACATCTACTGCGTAATGAGTCCACTCTAGACATGCCTGAATGTCTCCAGGCCTCCTACGTCCACAGTGCAAATTCAGTGCGAAATATTCTGTCCGTCGGATGGCACTAGGTAGCGCCTGTGCCGACATGCCTGTGTGCTGGCTCGTAAGAAACATTCGTGTTGGATAGCGCTCGACCTGTGGTGGGGGCCAGGGAGGAATGTCCTCTTGGTCGTCGTGTGCTGGTTCGTCCTGAGCTGGTAGTGGTATTGGCAACGCTTTGGCGGTGAGGTAAGGGTCGCACTGAACAAGTGCTGCCCTTGCCTCTTCTTGTGTCATTCGTTCCAGACACTCCGTGGCGATCTTGGTGGCGTGCCAGCTGTTCTGCGCGTTGGTGCGACTACGTGCCTTCTTGGCACACATGCCTTGCATGTCGTTGCTGCTGACGCGTGTATCGTGGGCTGTAGGGCGAGGTGGTGGGCCGGATTGTCGTATGATTCAATGGCTGCCACGAGGCAGGGTGGGGGGCCTATTGTTAGATGGTCGACTAGGTGGGTGCGTGCGTGGAAGGTGGATCAACCTGTTAGTACAGCAGCCCGTCGTCGAGGCATATCCCTTGGCCGCGATATTGAGCTGGTGGTTGGTGCGGCTGATATGCGCGCGCAGCGCGCGCATTCTTGAGAAAACTACTCCACGCCGCGGGCAGTGTAGCTGAAAACAAAACGGGTGGTGGTGCAGGTGGGGTAAGTATTAATCCGCGTTCGTCCGTGTATATTCGGCGCGGCACCCCTGCATCCGTAGCTGTATCAAAGACACTCTTTTCCATGTGCGCGGCCAGAATGGCCCGAGAGTGATGATTTGCTGCAGCTTGGAGCACTACGCGGATGCAGTGCGTCCGAGTGGTGGCGCTGTGTGGGATGTATTGTTCCCAAGCTGCAAGGTCGTCCGTAGGTGCAGGTAGGCTAGCGCATGGTAACGATGCTCTGTGCAACCACGTCATGTCCTCAATGAACTGTCCGAGTGTGGTGTGCTCCTGCATGTGCTGTCGATCTGTCGCATCGTGCCATTCTGCTGCCATGAGTGCAAACGCAAGTGTCGGACTGGTACCCGAATAACCGCAAGCGCGCAGCAGGTAGTAACATAGCGGGCGCAGGTTTGCGCAGCCGTGCAATCACTAGTGCATCAGACACCTGTGACTGTGATTCCTGAACACGTACGCGTGCTGCTGCTCTGTGCATTTTCATGACCTCACTGTGTAGAAGCTTGGCTTCAGCTGTAGTGAGCCGTGTCCATGCGCCTGCATTGTGCATTCTCCCTGAGAGTATTAGACTGTCTGCTAATGTCATGCGTACTGGTGGGTGTACCGCATTAGTCCTGAAGACTCGTCTCCGCAAAACTTGAAGCGAAACAGCAGTAGATGTGGCAGGGTACTTGATCTCCGGAATGAGCGAACCGTTGGCGTCAATAACCGAACCAAGATGCACGTAGTGATGCACAATAGGGGCACTGAGCTCACCAAGCATGCCTGACGTGCACTATATGCGTCCACCATGCTCGTGCCATGCGGCGTGCAGTGCGCGCTTCATGCCATGTCCTTTCCGCGTGATCATCGCTGCTGTCTTCGCTGTGTTAATACTTAGCCTGTGCCCACGCTTCGCAAAGGCATCCGTTATAATTTTGAATGCTAGCGACAAAGCTGGGTATATGTGCAATGCAGGTAATGTGAAAAGTATTGTACCGTCATCTGCATGCGACACATCCACAAGGCTGGTAACAGTGTCGGGCTGCTGTTGTCTGTCTAGTAGGGATATGACTTTGCGACTGTTGCTCGTTGGAAATTCCACGGGAATGCCTTCGTCCTTAAGTCGCTCACGGATCTCGATCATACATTCGGCCACTTGCAACTCGAAGAGAACTTCTGCGAGGGGCTGGCCTGGAAAAAAGGACCGGTGGGGCAAGGAAACCTGGTCGGAACCATCGCACAAACCACGGCGCCTGATAGCATTGCTCCACCTGCGCCAATGTATGGGGGTCGACCTGGCTGTAGTGCTGTCGTAGCCGTGGCGTGTATTCACGTAGCCTGCGCTCCAGTTCCGTCATCGCACTGGGTGGGGGTCCCGAGGCCCGAGCCAAAGCTGCGATGGTTCCATCATCCAGGTCGGTATCTTGATGGGCTTGAATAGCGAGCTCACGGATGGCTCTGTAGAAAGCTTGTACAACGTCCAAGAATATCGCACCAAAGGATAACCGTCGGGCCTTGGCAATTGACTGAGCAACTCTTACCAACAGGGACGCGCGTGTAGTGCCCCGTCCTGGTAGCCCCGCAAACTGTGTTTTACCAGCATCAAGGTAAAGCTGTGGCAGGAGGGCTTTTCTCAGGCATCTTCTCGAGGCTTTGCCTATTTGGGATGATGCCAATATTGACCGTGAGCTGGCGCACTTGGTTGGATCGGGCTGACCAGACTTGATCAACGCTCGATAAAAAAACTCCTTTCCACTGCGCAGGCTTCACTAGGGACATGGAACAATTGAGCTGTAGTGGATAGTAGTATTCGGCAATCGTGGTAGGATTCGCTTTTAGTGACGCACCTGGTATTCCATCACATCCTGGGGCCGAATCACGCGCCTGACGGCGTGGCGCTTGGAACTGAGCCAACGTCGTGATAGTAGCTAAGTTGACTGGGCCAACTCCGGCTCCACTGTAGGGTTTGCGGTGGAAATATAGTCATGGACATGTGGTACGTCTTGCAGTGGTAGGGTAGCAGCTAGCTCTACGCTGGCGAAGTGTTGTTGCCAACGTTTAGCGACCGTGGGGGCGTCTGCGATGGCTCGGCCATCAGCATCATGAAGGGCTGGTAGTGATCCCTCCATGCGTCGACGCTTGGAGCCAGCTCCAATCCTTCTGAGAGCTTTGTATGCCTCAGCGAACTTTCTCCTATCCCACGTGGATTGTACCTCCGTCGCAATTTGTGTCCAGTGCCACGCCGCATCCCGACTCGTGGATTGTCGTATAACGTACGTGGCTGATCGTGAAAATATGGCCCCGAACGCCCAACAGAAACATTGCCAGGCACGTTGCAAATCTAGCGCGATAGGTATCTGAATGATGTGGCCTTGGGGTATGTTTTGGAGCTCCTCGGGGTTGGGCAGCTCACAAAGTAATCGTAACCTTTCGACGAGGTCGAGCGAACATGGCGGTGTGGTGTGGTGGCCTTCTGGGGTCTGTAGTGGTGTCGTGAATAGCGCCGCGGCTTGCATGGCTTGCGCACTGGTGTAGGTAACGCTTCGGCAGGCACGTATGACTGCTAGCTGGGATGGCCCGTCCCTGTATGTGTGACGACAACACAGCGTGCGATGGCAGAACCAATCCCCGCGAGGCAGGTCCGACGCCCATGCTGTGAAAACACATGGTAGTTGTAGTTGGGGCAGCCGTAAGTGCACCTGTCGGAGAGCACGTCTGCCGACAGTCCTGTTGTCCATCAGGGCGAGAGAGCCTTTGGATATCCGGGTGTGCCGTCCTTGTCGTCCGGTCTCCGATTCAGCGACGGGGAACGCCTCTGACGCCGCTTGGAGAAGGTGTTGGTTAAGGAATTGGGCATGTTCATCTGGGTGAGTGCTGTAGCTGGGCTGTGGGACTGCTTTGAGGGCATCAGCAAACAGGTCCTGGTAGACAGGGTCCGT